TATTCCGAATACTACATGAAGTCTGACGGTGGTGGTGAGATTAGAACACACATATTATGGCAAACGTTATGGCTAATCTTTTATTTACGTACACTAGAGTTCCTGTTGTATCCCATCCTTGCATGCACCTTGATACAAAACACGTAATTATCAGTATACATTTATGGTCAGATCAGACTCAAGCAAAACACTCGGTTACACAAACGAAGCACAAATAGTAAATACATGATAGAAAACTATTTCGTGATGTAAGCATAAGCCCATTCTGCGGGCACTGTACACGTGCATACAGGTAGGAGTACATAAATGTGTTAGTCTATACAATTCATAGTTCATCGTGCACGAACAACAAAAGTTTCAAGTAATCCAATATTGTCTATGGCAATTACATTCGAGAATATCACCTCATAGTGACTGGATACCAAATCTGTGCAATCCACGGTGGTTTGAACCTCCCCGGAGTGTCCGGATTCAGCCACACGAGCAGAAATATGTAATGGCAATCCCCAAATTGCGTAGAACGGCTGTTCGCTGCCCACAATAGCCGTGTTCACCGTGCCTCGAGTATAACCTATTTTCAGATGAATTTGTGGAATATCACGCAGATGTTCTTCATTTAGTTCATTCATAACCCGTTGAGCGGCAAGGCAGAACTCGAGTAGGCGATCTAAGTGATACGTGTCATCTGAATCTAACTCCATGAACTGTTCCAGTCCACTGGCAATCACCAGTTGGCCGTTACTGTTACGCACGTAGGACAAATCATCAAACTTTTTATCTTGCAGCAAATCATCAAATGCACACATAGCCAAATTTATAACACGCAGAGCCAGGTGCCATTCTTGCGGGGGTAGTTGGGAGAACCTTGTATAAATATTAGAAATATACAGAGTTGCGATACCGACATTATTCAAAACAGATGAACAACGTTCACTATAAACAGAAGTCCGCTGGATCCGTTGGTCAAAAATAAATCTAACCAAATGAAGTGGTAAGATCTGTCCCAAACTCCGATATAACTGATCACCGAATCGTTCGGTTTCTTCCCTACATATCTGCAGTTCACGCATGCAGAGAAAATTTAGACGACAATTCCGGTCATTCACGCAACCCATTATCCATATCATAACGAAACTGATAAAAACATCCATTATGTAATCACTGATGAAGATTTCCACCTCGTGAACTGCTTGTTCGGGCATACATGCGGCTGTTTGTAATAGAGCGGCTTGTATGAATGATTGATGAATGATCAGGTAGGCTACGAAGCTGATCACAATTCCGACACAAGTCAGCCACAGAGGAGATGTGGTAGCCATCATATGATTGACCACGGCAATCAGACGAAAACTGACCATGGCTCCGTAAAACCGGTGTCCGGTTCCATCAACTGGATAACCCAGCAAACTGTAACAGATTGCGTGTATCGTAGGCATTAACAAAAGGATTAACAAACACATGCGAATCACCAATGGTCGCGACAGAAATCCATGCATGTTTTGCAACCAAGCAGCTGAGATGAAAACCGTAAATCTGGTCGCACTCCACACGACACAAGAGCAGATCACAAGAGAAATAATAAATTCCACAAAATAAACAATCCATAACCATTGGTGTTTTGAGTGCTCGGTAAAGATAAACGAAAACACAATGGTGGAGATTGCGGTGAAAAATAAT